ATTTGCCTAGAGAAACCTCACAACAGCCAGGGGCTGCAGAGTTTGGTTCAGCAACGTCCTGTAAATGATACGCAACTAACCTTATTATACAGAAACTCTTTTGCAAAACTCTTTTCCCCCTTTCTTTGCTCCCAGAAAAACGGGGTGTGCAAAACAGATACAGGAATTTGACATCTACAGAGCTACAAATTGCAAGGTTACCGGCTATCTGAGGATGTAACGTGATCACCAAGTTAACACACGCTGAGGATATTTGAACACATAACCATCTCAACTTTTACTTTATTAGTTGTTACCGTTTTCGTTGGCACACTGATTTCTTTCCAAAGCACAGTGTTCCACTGGGCTATAGGGGACCATGAGAATCAGATTCCATTTTGATGGTGAGTGTGACTAGCAAGACCAGCTCGCATTAAGAACCGTCTTCCATGCCACCGCATGCATTTCTGGTGCTTGCTATCTCAGACAATACGCTCTTAATCTATTTGCAGTCCTTTTCTCTTTTCCCTCTTGCCCCTTGTTGATTTGTCCTATTCATGCAACACTTTTCATGACATTTCGTTCCCATAAGTCTACCTAGGTACCTGTATCATTTGTGTCCCACTTGCACTGATGACTGGGTCGGGCTGACTTGCATGTAAACAAATTCATCTCCGGTCGGGACAGTATTTGGGTCTGTCTCCTTTGATCGTCTGCTCTGTGGCTAAGTCGATGCGAACGCTTCGTAATGCCGGGATGCCGGGTTCGATCCCAGCTGCGAGCCATGCGCCTTGCGTTGGTTTCGACAGTGGTATCGAGAAAGCCGACCGTCCAGTAAGCAATGGCAAACTACTGGACGTAAATTGCCTAGAAAAACCACACAACAGCCAGGGGCTGTTGGGGTTGGTTCTGCAACGTAGTGTAAAGGGTACGCAACAACTTCCTTTGATCGCATCAACACTGCAGGTATCCTTTTCAAGGCTGTTGGTGGCGTGTAATGCTAAGCAATTTATATGGCGCACATAACCTAGTCTCAATTAAAACTTAAAGCTACCCCGAGGGGATGCTGGTTGTACGGGACGATTTTGTTTTTCCAACAGAGCACCTACCTACCTACCTACCTACCTACCTACCTACCTACCTACCTACCTACCTGCCAACATACCTACCTACCTGCCAACCTACCTACCTACCTGCCAACCTACCAACCAACCTGTCCCACTTGCACACATCTTTTTATCGTAGTAGAGGCTGACCTCCACATCCTCTACCTATCTGTAATTTGCTACAGAGGGTGTTGCTAGTTAGCCTACCATCTCCCATCCTCATCACTATTTACATTAGTAATAATTATCCAATTCCATGCCGTTCGATTTGAAGAATCGTCACGGACGGAGAAATCAATTTCAATAATTAGCCACACAAATTGATTGGCAGACCCCGTTTATTACAACAGTGCTAAATAACAGTCAAACAAATATTCCTATTGATTCCACTAAACCTGCACAATGTCCCCTGAAATTATCATTGACATCCCGAACAGACTTCGTCTAGAACGAAAGTGAGAATTTGTTTCATGTTTGTGTCTGTGTGTGTGGTGGGAGAGACACCAACCCCAATTTCTTTTCTTCATATTTCAGTTTGACTTGCATTTCTTAATTGTTTCATTTGTTCACAAGTGACAGTCTGTGGCTGCCTGCACTAATTAAACATCTGTTACTTTTAGACATAATTTAATACATAGGTTGTACAGCGGTGGCCAACAGTTTAAACACCAACTAGTAGATCATTGATATTTTTACGCTCAAACGGTGTATTAAGTTTTGCATTCGAAGCAGATTGATAACAGCAATGGTTACCTTTATTGGGATTTAAAGTAGCCGTGGACGCAATACTTCATGATAGCATGAACAAATCTCTTACTCACTAGGTGGTCTCAAATTTCAGTGGCCAGCACTGTAGTTAAAGAAGTACATTAGAGTGTACTTAAAGCAATACGTATGTGTAAATTATTTCCAACAGTAAAAGTATTACTTTATTCACTGTCTTACTGTGCCATTACATGTCACTTAGGGTTCATAGTCTATTCCTCCATGTCGTTCTATCCTCTGCAGTCACTTCAATATTATAAATCCAGTCGAGCATTTCTCTTTACTTCTAAGTATGTGTCCAATATAGCGCCATCTTCTCTAGCTTTTAAATGTTGATACTAGAAGGCGTCTGTGGCTTAAGCATTGCGAACGCGCTTCGCAATGCCAGGGTGCCGGGTTCGACCCCAGCTGCAGACGATTTGTTTTGCGTTGGTTTCGGCAGTGGTACCGAGAGCTGACCGTTCAGGGCAATGGAAAAACCGACTGAATGTAAAATTTGCCTATAAAAACAAAACAAAACGAAACAGCCAAAAATTTGCTGGCGTTGGTTCTGCGACGTCCTGTAAAGGATACGCAATGAATACTTTCTGGTCGTTGCCAAGACATTTCTCTTATTTTGTTTACTAATTTAGAGTTCCATATTTAGCGTGGTTCTAAAACTTTATAATTTAGAGCTCCATATTTAGCGTGGTTCTGAAACTGTATAATTTAGAGTTCCATATTTAGCGTGGCTCAAAAACTGTATAATTTAGAGTTGCATATTAGGCGTGGTTCTAAAACTGTATAATTTAGAGTTCCATATTTAGCGTGGTTCTGAAACTGTATAATTTAGAGTTCCATATTTAGCGTGGCTCTAAAACTGTATAATTCAGAGTTGCATATTAGGCGTGGTTCTAAAACTGTATAATTTAGAGCTCCATATTTAGCGTGGTTCTAAAACTATATAATCTAGAGTTCCATATTTAGCGTGGTTCTAAAACTGTATAATTTAGAGTTCCATATTTAGCGTGGTTCTAAAACTGTATAATCTAGAGTTTCATCCATATTTAACGTGGTTCTTAAACTGTATAATTTAGAGTTGCATATTTAGCGTGGTTCTAAAACTGTATAATTTAGATTTGCATATTTAGCGTGGTTCTAAAACTGTATAATTTACAGTCCCACATTTCTTTTCTCTAAGCTTTCAAAAGCTTCTAATGCCTTGCTAGCGCGTATTATAATTTCTTTGTGTGTGCGTGCGTGTTTGCTTGTATGTATCTGTGTGTGTGTCTCTTTTTGTGTGATTTCCCTAACAAAAAATACTCTTTTTTCATTATTAAATGTAAATTTTTTTTTTTTTTGTTCAGAAACATGAGTATGCACGTGTTTCTTTTGCTGGGAGTAGTTGTTTCTCCTGCAGGTAAGAAGACAGCAGATAGTTTTCTTTTCATTTTTTTTTTAACCTTGTAAGTTTCAGGGATCCGTTATTTATTTGTATTAATTAAACTGCTACTGGTATGGTTAGCATCGGTATTCTTCGCTTTCTGCTAAAGAGGAGGACGCAGCGCTTATGAGAATGTCCCTAGTGCCGTGATGAGGATTCTAAACTCAAATCATTATTTATCTTGTTATATACTAAGCGCAGTCTCGGGAAGTAAAGGCGACTGTGGTGATGCTGACCAAATCACCCATCTTGTGCCGATTGGTTTATAAAATATAAGTCTAGCCCTATATGCCCTAAACGCTTAAAGGCTTGGAAAAGGGACCTTTACTTCACTTACGTTTACTAAGCGCAAATGTAAAAGTTCACAACATACCATAGCTGTCTTAACTGCATAATGGGCTCCTGGGCAAACCATGTGCTGGGACCTTTACGACAATCGTTGTGGCAAGTCACTTGGCATACCCAAACTAGCATAGAGCCGCCATGCTCGTATGGCGCCAGGGAAATTTTCATCTGATGCTTTGCTGGGAAATAAAAGACAAAAATCATCACGTTCAACCAGCATCCCTGAAGGGAGAGCTATAAGTCATAATTATTACTTAGCTGTGTGCGCCATAAAAAATAGCTTTGCTTTTAACGCCATCAAGAGCCCTGAAAATGACTCCTAGAGTGTTTTGATGCAATCAAAGGAGAGAGACCCAAATACGAAGTCGTCTACTGGCATGCCAGTGGGCGACCCAGTCACAAATGTATCCCCAGGGCAGGCCCCATGCGTTAATACGGCACTGCAACATGCTCCCAAAGGAGCAGCAACTGCAAGGCCTGGAACGTGCTGCCCTACGGCTCTGTTAAGAAATACTCTGCGCAAGCAAGTTGTTAAGTCCTGAGAAGTAAAGGCAGCCGGCGTGATACTAACCACATCACCCAAGTACTGACTGATCTATAAAACACATATAAGTCTGGCACTATACAACCAATGCGCTTCAGGGCGAGATATTTAAGTGAGCAATCCAGATTTTATGAAAGTGGCTGAGACCCAAATACTCTCATTGTTGGTCCGGAGGTCCTTTGGGACTTCTGCTTCTTCTTCTTTTTCAGCATTCCAAACCCTTCAAAATTCATTGCAGTAGATATCACCTGCTTCCACTCTTCTCTGTGTGTGGCTGTCTCTATCCAGTTATTGACTACGAGTGTTTGAAGGTCTACCTGTATACTTTCGTTCTATTGTCTTTTAGTCTTCCTCTGGGTTGATGGTGTCGGGAGATGTGAACCAGCGTCATTGCACACGGTTATATACCATAAGTGCTCTGTCACCAGTACGGACAGCTGATAAGAAACTGCCCGCTTGTGTCGCCGTCTGCACGCAACTCCGTAGCTACAGCGACGTTCCTCCATTTACCCCAGAGTGTTAGCTCTGGTACCCATTACCTAGAGGCTGGATGAACCTCGGGAACGGCCCGGTTTCGAACACCGGCAGTTGCTGCAGCGAGCCGCAGCTGAATTTAAAAGCGAGTCTCTTATCAACTGCGCTAACGCGCCCCTATAAGTTGGTACTTGGTTGATATTGATGATGACAACGATGATAAAGATGTGCTCCTTGCAAGTATTGAATAACAGTTACAGCTGCATTGGAACTGAGAACTTTCAGACTAGCCACAGATTCTGGTTACACCGCAACCATCCTGGACAAATCCCAACAAGTGGCTTCTGTACTGGACTGTGTCAGAATGTGCTTGGCTGAGTACAACAACTGCTTCGGTATCACATACAACACCAGCACCGAAGCATGCACTCCAAGTATGTTCAATGTATTTTTTGTAATCGAGCTACATTGCGTATAGAAAACTCTGGTGTTAAAACACTGTCTGTTAGCAATTTGCATTCAAAGTAGCCAGTTACGGTGTAACGGATGTTATTGTGTATTACTAGGTTAACTCCGTAATCATCAACATTGAAACTTTTACAGTGACATATACAAGCAGAGGCGTAGGAAGGGGCGTGCCATTGGGTGCAGGCCGCTCGGGGTGTCAACATTGAGGGTGGGGACAAAATGGCAATAATATGTCTACTCATTGTTAAAACAATGCGTGTGTGTGCGTGCGTGTATGTGTGCGCGAGTGTGTGTGCGTATGTGCGCGCGCGCGTGTGTGTGTTTATGGGGTGACAAAACAATTTTAGCGTCGGATACTACATGATGTTGCATTGCAAGAACATTTTCACTACCTTTGTTAATTTCTATATGAATTGTAGAAACAACAACAAACAAACAAACAAAATTAATATTCATTGTTCAATTAATTAGTTTAAGATGCACTTAAAATTATTGTTCATTGTTTAAAATTTCCTTTTTTTAAAGATTTGATTGGCTACTTTCCGTCCTTCCAGACAATAGTGTTAAACTAGACTATGAGGAGGCATGGGACTCCCATCAATTTGTTTTAAAGATCTATGCATGGTTTTTAATACAACTTCAAACATTTGTTATCATCTTGTCGTTTCTGTTAGGTGTGTTTCCTTCGAAGTCGGAGTGCATCTGCCTGAGAGGCAAGGAACCAGTAGTTTGTATAAAGGTCAGATCTGTAAGGTGGAGATGTAGGCAAATCTGAAGTTATGCAACAAGACGAAAGTCCGAAGTGAACGAAAAATCAGGAATTTCTGTCGGAGTTTAACGCCGGTGAATAGGAAGAAGAAGAAACATTTGTTGCATTTTTGTGTGTGAGTAGAATATATGTTGTTGTTGTTGTTATCGATTCAGCAGCGCATGAGCTTTCGCCCTTTGGCCCAATGTTATGTAGTGGAATTTGCATGTTTTCACCAGCTGTTCTTTTCCTCCGTACAAGGTGTTTCACTGGTCTGGTCTCGGAGGGAATTGCATTCTTCTAGTTTCGCTGAGTTTTGGGCACTCAAAGAGATGGTGCTCAACAGTTTCATAGGGGTAGTTACATAGCTGGTACTCTGGAAGGTGTTGTGGTTGTATTCTGTTTGAAAGTCCACTGAGTAGAGTATATTGTGTTCTGAGTCTGAAGATGGTGGACTGGTCCCTTCTTATTAGATGTTTAATGCTATTATTAGGATCACGGCCAGCCATATGTCAATAAACCTCTCTCCCAGTGCCTCCCATGTCCCATCTGTTCAACCAGGTCTATTTGTTTATAGCTCTATATATATATAGTTTATTGACACAGGATCATGGATAATACAAGATGTATCGAACATTATATCACCTGGACAGGAATTATTCTACCACATCAGGGTCTGCAATGAAGCGATGGGCTTTCAGCTCTACACATCAGGAAGTCTAGCCCAATGTTTTTATATATCAAACGAAGTGATAAACTTTACTTCTGCCAGAGAAATCTGCGAAGGTATGTTCCTACTTACACATATTTTGAGCGAACTTAAACATTTAATGACTTATTCGTCTTCTGTCTTTATCCCACCATGGAGCACAGGCCCTCAGCCAACTCACGCCTAGTTGTCCTATCCTTCGCTCTTGCATGTAGCTCACTCGTGTGTATCTTTTCTTTTCAGCTTCACTGCCTAACTTCTTCTCCATGTGGTCTTTATTTACGTGCTTCTAGGGGTTCCAGCGTAAAGACGTTCTAGTTACATTGTTCTGGGGTTTTATTAGCGTGAGTCCTATCCAGCGCCAGCGTCTTTTCTACACCATTTGACCAGGCATAGTTTTGCTCTTTACGAAAAAAAAAAAAAAAAAAAAAAACAACAACAACGCCAGCTCGTCCTGATAGAGCTAACCATGCTGTACGAGTCGCGAATGGAAAAAAAAAAAATCACCTGTCCAAGCTTGACGGAACGTCGTGGGGGAAAGCATTCGGTAGACTGGTCGGAGTCCCTAGTGAAAATGTTCTTCTTACCCCTTGAAGCCAAGGTGTCTGACTAATGTCTGCCAGTGTCTTTCTGCCAAATGCTAAAGTCTAACATCTGTTTGATAAACTAATCGTAAGTTTGTCACTCTGGTCGTGAATGTGGATGTTTAATTTGCGGCCTCGGCGACAATATAAGACCAAATCTCACACCTATTGCAAAGTCCCCAGATCGTATTGTTCATGTCCGAGAGTCCAATTAAGTGCAGCAGGGAAAGATCGAGGCCTGGCTTCATGACCTAGGTCGGCCAACTTCCCGATACTATATAGGAAGTAATGGGCCGAAACAATCGTCGACGAAGGATCTTTCTACTCATGATCGGTGGACGCCTGCTTTTCATGCTCCCCTGTGGAGTTCTTATTATCTTAAGCTGCTTCTTACTCATGTCCATTTTGTTTCTAGTACCACTGTTCTATCGTTATGTCATAGTCTTAGATTGTTTTTTTTCCTATTGATATTCTGTACTTGTACAGCAAGTGAAATGGTTTGCCCACTTAGAGAGAATGCCTTGTGACACCATACCATACAAAGCATACATGGGAAGAGAAGAAGGACGTAGAGCACGGGGTAGACCAAGAACAAGATGGAAGGATAACATCAGAGAAACTCTACAACAGCACGATGTGCCTATGGTCGAGGCAGCCAGAAGAGCTAGAAACAGAACCTTATATCTCCCTCGACACCCACAGCGGTAAAAGAGGAAGTGAAGAAGAAGAAGAAGATATTCTGTACAGTAAATCCTCCAGCTTTAATATATATATATATATATATATATATATATATATATATATATATATATATATATATATATAAAATATGAGGCGACCCTTACCGTACTCGATGTTTCATCTCTATCTGTGGTGAGTAGATTTTGTGTCCATCTGTTGCTACTTGCCCCTAGTTTAGGTTAGTATATCATCATCATCATCATCATTTACGTATCGCTGGTGGGTCACCAGTATTTGTTGACTGTCTTATCAGCTCTCTCCACCTTAGACGTCAGCTGCGTGCCTGCGGCCTGTCTGGTCAGTCAGGTTCTATAGGAAGTCTTTGTTGGTCTGTCTCTTCTCCTCTTCTCTCTACTTGGCCCTGCAGTATTGTTTTTGAGAGGCGGTTAGATGTCCATACCATAGCAATTTTCGCCTGTAGTTAAAAGAGGTTCATAGTTGCAAATATGCTGTATAGTTTTATGGGGAACCTCTTCGCTTGTAATGTGGTTTCTTTATGATATTTCAAGAATTTGTCTAAAACATCGCTTTTCTAATGCTGAATCTTTCTTTCAAGTCCAGGTGTTGAGGTCAATGTACTAATAGCTAGTGCTCTGAGCAATAGAATATTAGTTTTGCATGAAATGTTTTTGAAGATTCATAATGTTTTCTGCTGGAAAAGACTAATGCAAACAGCGGTGAATGGAGAGTGAGAACTATCAACGAAATTCATAATCTGTTTAAATCACCATTGATTACTGGCATCATGAGAGCTAATAGGCTGAAATGGTTACGGCATACTGAAAGAATGTCAGATGACAGAGATGTAAAAACTGTATACACGAGGGAGATGAATGGTCGTAGACCACGATGGATACCAAGAAGACGATGGAGAGATAATATCCAGACAGACCTGCAAACACTTGGTGTCACCAACTGGAAAGAGAAGGCCTACCAGAGAGATGAATGGAGGCGGGTGATATCTGCAGCTCGGAATGCTAAAGAAGAAGAAGGACTGGTGTTGTCTGGGCAATCCTAGAAATTATTTTTGGTATATATTAATGTAATTGCCTTTGTTTTTTTTTAAATTTAGCTAGGAACTCTAGAATGTTCATGGTTAAATCTAGTGAGAAACTGGACTTGCTACGTCTCATGGTTAGAACCATAACACAGAGTCAAACATGGGTCGGTTTGACGGACATAGCTACTGAAGGAAACTTCGTGTGGGCGGACGGTGAATCCACAGCGAATGTTTCCTTGCCGATCCCATGGGATGAGGGTATGTTTATTTATCTGGTTTGTATTTTTTTAATATTTTTGTCAAATTATTAAATTTTAAAAAACAATTATTGTCGTTATATTGTATGTTAAATTAGGAATCGACATCACAGCACTCGGAACACTCCCATAAGTGCTTAGTCCCCATCTTCAGCAGCAAGGGAAAAGTTCTAATTCCGATGGTACCAGTAACCGTCTGATTGTATATCCATCTCATCCTTCCCTTGAGTGGTGAGTGTCGGCCAGACCCTGGTAACTCCTCGCAGCGCCATTCTCCTTAGACCATAATGATCTATCTGCGCATTCGCACTGTTCACCCGTTCCCAAAGGGTCCTCAAAATATCTAGCTTGTCATACATCAATTCACCACCAAATGGTTGCAGAGCCAGTCATTTCTGCTCATTTTCAAACAAACCGGCCTTACCTGAAGAAAATTTCCAAAGGATGCTAACTACCTGGGAACTCTGAAGGGATGCTTGTCGTTATCTTGGTTGTTTTGAAACATTTTATATAACCTGGTAATTTAGGTTTTAATGGTAATCACTTAAGGAATTTAAATAGAAATTCAAATCAAAATCTATCTGCTACGAATTTATCTCGTTCACACATGCCCACAAACACATTTACTCACTGACTCACTTACTTACATACACTCATACACACATAAATAAATAAATAAATACATACATACATACATACATACATACATACATACATACATACATACATACATACATGCATGCATGCATACATACATACATACATACATACATACATACATACATACATACATACATACATACATCCATCCATCCATCCATCCATCCATCCATCCATCCATCCATCCATCCATCCATCCATCCATCCATCCATCCATCCATCCATCCATCCATCCATCCATCCATCCATCCATCCATCCATCCATCCATCCATCCATCCATCCATCCATCCATCCATCCATCCATCCATCCATCCATCCATCCATCCATCCATACATACATACATACATACATACATACATACATACATACATACATACATACATACACGATAAGCAGGTAGCTTATTTGTCTAAAATAGTGAACTAGCGCTGTAGATTTTCATTCAAGTGTTATCTATTTACATCCGTATCAAAAATGGCTCTATCTGCAGGTCAACCCGATGACGCAGATAATGAAGAAGACTGTGTGGAGATGGGGAAAAGCAGTGTCGATTTTATTAACGACTTGCAGTGCTATAAAACTTCAAGATTCATCTGCGAAGCTGAACTATCTGCTTACTGATATTGTCAATATTAGAATTTATTACTCTACAAAAAAGAAAAAAAACATTTATGTTTTCATCTACATCACCATCATTATGTTTCTTACTAGAGCAGTGGTTTTCAATCTTTTTCAGGTCCCCCCCCCCCTCCTTTTTCCTTCTTGAATATATGACAATACCTCCCCCCTCCCCCCCCCCCCCATCCCCCGCAATAAAAATGTGATTAATAAATGAGCACAAAACGTAGATGCGTTGATTGTTTTTAACAAGAACTTGGAGAAAAACATCCACATAAATTCAGCTAACAAATACCGTAAAAGAAACAATCATCAACAACTTGTAGTTTCCAAATATCAATATCATGGTTTACACCAGTGATTCCTAAACTGTGCGAAGCGGCGCCCCCGGGAGCCGCGACCCTTCACAGGGCGCCGCGAAATATTTGAAGATAGACAATTTTTTTTAAATCTCTTACATACGACTAATCATACTTTAACTTAGGTGAGGGCGCCTTGAAAAAATTTTAATTGAAAAAAAAAAGCACCGCCACTTTAAAAAAAATTTGGGAAACACCCGATGACACAAAGTGCCACCATGTGTATGAGGATCACCGTGGAGAGGTCTCAAAAACTGCATTCAGCCATTAGACCATGTTTATGGTCGGGCTATATTGCGGCCTCCGACAAGAGACAGAGTGGGACTTCAAACAACGAAAAGTTGCATCTCACAAGGAGATGACTGGATTAAATGTTAGACATCGCTGAGGACCTCTTAGTATACACTGAAAAAACTAATCTAGAAATAACAGATTATAACAAATGGGCATGGAGATGTCAACGACACATCACTGTCACAAAGATGCGTATCTGTATGACATTGGCAATCTCTTCTAGTGATTGAAGATTCTTAACAGTTATTTTTTTTTTTTCATTCTGTCATGCGTTTGAATATTTCTTTCACGCCTTTGTTATAAAGCAAAATTAGTGGGTTTAATAGCAATCTGAGGCAAACAATAAACAACCTTTAGATATAAGTTGAAAGACTGGCCTAATAATAAACTAGAAGTAGCAAAAATAAGTTAACTTAGTAATCGACCAGCAGTGAAATGTATCTCATTATCATCATCATTTAACAGGTCCTTTGCAAAACGTCGCTTTCATCATGGTCTGCGTGAAAGAGCGTGAAAGAAACTCGGTCTCTCACGAACTCTCCCGCCTCATGTACTTTCATACTCAAGGAGTCACTTATCTCCGGTGTCCATCTTCGCGTTGGTCGGCCCTGCCCCTACTTCCGGGTACCATACATTCTGCTATTATTTTTTCCAATCCGTCGTGGCACTTGATATGACAAAAATATTTCAGGTTCCGAGACAGGATGCTGTTTATTAGCCAATCTTCCTAGATGTTCAGATCTTTCAAGATGTCGGTATTTCTCCTCTTCTTTGTCCAAGATATTCTGAGAATCGTTCTATAACACTTCATCTTAAAGCCCCTATTCTCTTTCTTAAGGACTTGGAGATAGTCCACGACTCACATCCATATGTTGTATCTACTTATACGATATTTGCGGTTTTTGAATACATTATTGTATAAACATTTTGCGGCGTCCATGGCTTAGGCGTTGCGAGTCCGACTAGCGATCCAACGTACCGCGATCGAAACCCACTGCTGGCTGCGTGGATTTTTATCGTAGAATGGGGCGTCGCAGGTCGACCCAGCCTAAAATGGGTACCAGGATGGCTGTCTTGGGAAAGTAAAGACGGCCGGCGTAATGCTGACCACATTACCCATCCAGTGCCGTTTGGTCTGTAAAAATCTGGGACGCTCTGTCCATATACCCGATGCGCCTAAGGCGTAATAAGGGATCTTACTTTTTTTTTTTTAACTATAAACATGTTGGTACTAAAATATTCAGAAACCAAGAGTTGCACACAAGTTGCATGTGATTTATGAAGTTACGAAAGGTACTCAACGTGAATCCCACTAGCCTCCAGACGACTTATTAGAGCCGCAAACGTCTGCTCGGGTTACATCATTCAAAGTGTCCATTGTGATTGCTGCACATGCAGTTATAATTTCTTGCTGAAGAAACGTCAGTTTGGCAGTTTTCAACGCTTGCCGACCGCAAGGTCGTAGGTAAAAGGGCTATCACATCAGGAGAGTGATTAGTGATTAGCAAGGATTATCATCCTGGCACTCCGGACTGATCCATAGGTGTTCCGATCTCCTCCTCAAAAGATCCACAAGTGTAAAACGACTGATGACGCCTGCTCTATGTTGGTTAATGAAACGTCTAGTCCCCTTAGTGGAATGTTCATGTCTTGCAGCTCTATGCTGCACCCCCCATGTCTAATCCGTCTAGACAGGGATACGGAGTACTACAGAAGAGTGTGCCCTATAACCATCACACAATACATCTTCTTTACGTCCTCTTTTACCGCTTCAGGTTTCGAGGGAGATATAAGGTCCGTCTTAGTGCTCTGTCAGCTGCTTTGACCATAGACACATCGTGGTGCTGTAGAGTTTCTCTGATGTTATCTTCCCATATTGTTTTTGGTCTACCTCTTGCTCTACGTCCCTCTCCTCTTTTGGTATACGCCTGTATGGTATAACATCAGTAGGCATTCTCTTCAGGTGGGCAAACCATTTGATTTGCTGTCTTTGTGTGTAATTTTGAATTGGTTCTGTAACGACTTTATCTCGTATGACCTTATTCCTGATTTTATATGTTCTTGTCACTCCTGCAGCTTTTCCCAGACACCTAATTACTAATTTTATTTTATGTTTTGTTGTTAGTGACCACGTCTGGCACTGGTAGCATAGGGTAGGAATGAATATGCTTTGAATGAGATGTCTCTTTGTGCTGGTTGGGATTGCCTTATGCTGTAAGAGGGGAGCTAGCTGTCCCAATACTTTGCCAGCTTTACTGCATCGGATGTCGATTTCTTCGTCCAATTTACCATCTTTAGTAAACGTTGTTTCAAGATATTTAAACTCAGATTCCTGTTCAATATATGCCTTCTCCAATGCTATGTTTAAATCCTGCTTCTTTCTTTCCATTGACATTACTTCTTGTCTTTTCGATGTTGATTCTCATATTATTTGATTCTAATTTTTCATTCATGGGTGTGAGATGCTATTGCTAATTCATGACTGTCTCTGCAGTCAAGGCCTGGTCATCAGCAAAGAGTAATTCGTTGATGTTACTATTATCTTCGTTCATTGGCCTGGCATCCGTGCTTATACTGTCAATGTAAGTGATAAACAGGAGTGGTGATAAAACACATCCCTGTCTTACTCTAGATATTACTTTGAATGTTTTAGATGTTCCCTGATTTATTCTAACTACGGTTCTACAATCGCTATATAAGCTTTTGCAAACTTCAGTGAGGTGTTGACTTACTCACATCGAGCAATTACTTTCCATAATTTGTGTCTATTGACTCTGTCGAAAGCCTTCTCCTGGTCTACAAATGCTACAATTAAGTTTCTGATCATATTCGATGTTTTTTTTTTTTCTATTAACTGTTTAAGTGTGAAGATTGCATCTGTGCAGCTTCTATTTCTTCTAAAGCCCATCTGTTATTCTGTCAACTGTGGCTCTATCACTGATCACAGCCTCGTTTCTATTATCTTAGCATACAGTACATAGCTACTGTATTTCGATTTACTAAATATGGCGGAAATATGTCCCATAATGATGATGTTTTGAAACAAGTAGCCTCTATAAAAGTATTCATGCATTTCACTGGTGGACGATTGCTATGTATACATTGTGTGTGTGCTACCTCTGTATGTTTAAAAATGTGTTTTTATCCTTAAAAGACGCAAACATCGCAGAATAGATTTAGAAGCAACAATGACATCCACAATCTGATTAATTTAAATCACCACTAATTACTGAAAGCATGAAGGCTAATATACTGCCGTGGTTGGAGAATACAGAGAGAATGGAAGATAGCAGAGACAAAACATGTGTTCACAAAAGAGTAAAATTGAAGTTGACAACAAGACAGACCAAGAAGACGGCGGAAAGAAAATATACAGACAGACCTGCAAATACTTGGAGCTACTAACTGGAAAGAGAAAGCCAATCACAGAGATGAGTGGAGAATATCTGCAAATTATGAACCGAGAAGGCATAGCATTCTCAAGAAAGAGGGCAAGAAGAAATCACATATCTGTAGACCTAATGAAATAACGCTTAAACATTTCTTGCAAAAGTCTTCAACAAATGCCACACATTTTTTAGACATACACCTGCACCTTTTGAGGAAAGACCTTATGCAGGTGCGCAGGAACCTAGAAGCTAATGCCCCTTGAACCCAGCTCCCCAGATAAATTTTAGAAGTGTGTGAAAAGGGGGGGGGGGGGGGGGGGGGTTAATCACCTAGAAGCTTGTAAGCAACCCCCCAACCCCCAACCCCGACCACAAATAGCTCTCTTTTTAAGTATCTTTTTATGAATATAGTTCATATTATTTAGAATACATTATTATCGTTGTTTGCCATTCATCACATTAATTTTATTATTATAACTAGAATTACTATTATTATTATTGGCGGCAGACACAAAGGGCTTCTTGCCTCTGGGGCAGCTGCAGCAGGAAAAGGAAAGCAACCGCTCATACCGGGCCTTATATCCCCTTCCACGGCAATTGACTTTCTGACCACTTCAGAAAAGTTCCACCAAGCAGCTCTGCCCGTGCAGGCAGCCAGATCAAGTTATAGCAGGCCTTTCTCCACGGGCCTTGCTCATTATTATTAATATTATTATTCCACTTAGGTAGGGATTAGGCCTTCTTATATCTCCCATTTAACTGAATGTGTTTAGGGACGCTCCTCCACCCCCTTCCCGAGCTTACTACTCCATTTTGTTTGGGCTCTCCTGATTCCATAGCGATGTCAACAAACGCAGACTGACGACTGCTGCTTTCGTCAAACATGTTCAAAGTGGCCTCTAAATTTGGAAGGAGAAAGAGAGCAATGGCGTGAAATAGTATTAATTATACGATGTTTGAT